TTATTCAACAAGTATGTTAATGAGTTGAACTGACCATTACAAAAATTAAAGCGATCTATGCAGATACACACATATATCATAGAATAAAATCCAGTGTCCAAAAATAAGCTTAAAAAAAACCATACAGAGCAGGCGAAACATAACAACAAGTTATATGTATAGTAAGGTTGGATTCAATTAAGGAACAAAATTATATAAATGATGACGAACCCATAGCATTATAGTATATTCATTAAACTTCTTTGATTATTAAAAACGTTTATATATCCAAAAGTTTTCCAAAGAAAATTTTTATGATATTATTCTTAAGAACTATAAGTACTGTCAATTGGCACTTTTTCTTGCTTTAGTTTTTAATTTTTTTTCTATTCTACATGTCTTCTCATATCTAGACAATTTAACAATTTTACTGCTTTATAATTTTATGTATATTTTTGACATAAGTTATAAACTATAGTTAAGACTATATCTCTGTCTCAAACAACGGGTTCTTTCTTATAAGCAAATATAAAGAATTTCTATAAGAATAAGATTAAAATAAATTAAATGATTTATTTTTTAATTGTTTATTATTGAAATAAAAATATCAAGAGTATTATAAATAAGACAATTTTGTAAAGACATATTTTTAATCTTTGGTTGGTTTTGGTTGTTTGGTAGAGCTGACTTATAGTAATTACTTTCGTTAATGACGTTCTTGACTTTTACATATTAAATTTGTAATTTGTAAAATTTTTTTGATATTAATTTTATAGAGAGGTTTATAGAGAGGTGAACTACAACAACAAAAATCCTTTTTATATTATTTTAATTAATTGAATTTTTAGTTGACCACACAACTGTTTCGAGTATTTTCGAATACCCATCATTAGTGGTCTTGGAATTATTTCTTTTATTTAATTATTCGTAAATAATTTTTTAAGACTTAATTTTAAAAAATTTGGAATCTTTTAAAAAAGTGATTCACATTAATTTTTTAATTTACTGAACATTTCAAATATAAAGAAATGTAGTCCAAATTTTCTAAAACTCTTCAAGTTACTCTCACTTAAGAAAATATTATTTATTATATGAATTAATCAAAAATCGAAGGTGCCACCTTTTTAAGTGTAGCGCAACAAATTACATTCATTATTAAACTCAGCTTAAACGACTTTAAACAAACATATTTATTTTTATTGTTTTATTTTTGGACTTTAAACGAAATAATTTATTTATTATTCTTTTTTTTTTTTTTTTAAATTGTATACGAATAAATACTCCATAAATTAATACCTTCGTATACGGTGGATATGGACTTACAAGGTGCATAATATCCAGCATCCTGTCTTCTTTCTGCTTTATTTCACTTTTGTATCACTTAAAGCTTTGGATTATTCTTATCAGAATACGCAATTGAACTTCACATTCACATTTAGATTTACAATTTATTTGTTTATATTTTCTTTATATAATTTTATTTTACTATTTTCCCTCCAAATGTTGAATTTGCACAGCCCACAGCGGAACGACCACTCCAACAACCGAACTAATTCATTTTAAACCAAAAACTGAGAGTTTGATATGTAAAAAATCTTCAAGTTTTGGAATTTGAACATGTACACAAAGCAAACACCCAGTAGGAAATTTTATGACACCACAGAGACAATAGTACACTCTTTGTTGATGATAAAGAAAAATTGCTTATTGCGTTTGAGTATTTACGTTTAATGGTGAGCGGAATTTCATCAAAATGTTCTAAGTGTATATAGTTACGTGTTTTAAGAGATTGAAAGAGAAAATGAAGAGAAGTAAAGCTTTTCTACTAATAGCATTGCATTTCCCAATGTCAACTTAAAACAAATTAAATACTGTTGCGTGCCTTCATTAAGAAAAATAATCGAAATAATTTAAAATAGAGTGGAAGTGTAACGAAATCATTTTGTAGAAATATTTTTGGACTTTTGATATAACAGTTTGTTTAATATTTTTAATATATTTTATTTTTTAAACAATAAGAAACAATATTTAATGATTTAACAGATGTTTAAACTATATTTTGAATATTGAAACAACATATAAATAAAACATTTAACATATTTAATTTATTAATTTATAATAATTTGTAGTGTTATTAATTTATTTGTATTTTAATTAAACTTTACAATACTTTGTTTTATTTTTATTTTATTTTTTTTATTTGATTTATTTAGTTTTTATTTTATTTGGAAGTTAATTTTATTTAATTCTTATTTCTTTGTTTTTACATAAATAAATAACATATTCTTATGTTATTTTTATATTATTATTATTATTTAAATTTTTTTTATTTTATTTTTATCTCGTAGGAAAATAAACAATGTATGTTTATAAGATTTTTAAAACGTTTTTGGCAGCCATCTATTAACGTATAGTTCTTTCAATTATCAGCAGTGGACTTTATTTTTGATTTCCTCTGAAGTTATCATTGGAACAACTTACAAATATCATAACTCAGTTATCAGCTATTACGTTGCCTTCGAATTTTTTTTACATGTGTTTATGTGTTCGTACTAAGGTATGAGATTCTTATAGATTTGGACTAATTTAAATTTAGTCGTTTCAAACTAAAGAGTTCATATGGCTGCATGATTATCTGAATATAAAACATTATATTATCTAAGACTATACTTCGTCCATGATATTGAAGTAAACTATATATTTAAATATATCATTTGATATTGACATTTATATCTTAACTAATTTGTACTGTCATTAACCACTTTTAATTAATGAATGTCATATCATATCTGATATCGATTGTGATATCGATATCGATTCTATTAGATCTATTAGGTCTATGTATGGTCTGTGTCAGTCAGCTCTATTTTTCTACCTATGAATATACGTAGAGATATTAATTTTAAAATTCTTTATGGTAATTATTTTGTATATATTCCTTGCATTCGTAATAGTTTAAATCTTTTATCTTTACTCAGTACTTTTGGAGCATCAATTTACTTGGTTTTTGGTGACGATCACATATTACTATATACTATAAACGGACATAACAAATGATTCTGTATGAGAAAATTGCGCATAGGTAGTATTAAAAGCTGATTATAAAGCAATTATAATATATAATATATATTAAAAATAATTTCTCAAATAATTATGGCATCGGTATTTGGTTCTGTGTTTAGTTGATAAGATAATAATATTCTTTTGTATTCAACAGAAATATTTATCTATATCAATTACATCAATTTAATCACAGATGGGTAAAATTTTACACAATTTTGAATTAAATGTATGTTTACAAAAATGTGTGTGCTCTGCTAAATAAAAAATGTTTACAGTGTAAACACTTTGTCTCTCATTAACCAACAACCGACTTACGTTCCTTTTAAGTGGAGTGTCCAACCAAAATTGGTTAAGTTGTTGTAAATATAATAAAGAAAACTTTTGTTTTAAAAAAAATTATTAACTTGAGAAATGGTTAAGAGAGTTTTTGCTCTTCTATATTTTTTGTTTTAATGAGATTTTTTTATGTGCATATATATAATGAAAAAAAAAATGTATATATAATATTTGTAATAATTTATTGTTTTAATGACCAACATTTTTTTAATAATATTTTTATTTTTAATTGGACTTATTGGTCAATAATTAAAAAATACATATTCTAAAAAAGTACCACGAAATATAGTCGAAATATTGGTTTCAATAAAATGTTTAAAAAAAATTGTGTATTTTAAAAAGTGTATTATTAAACTATTGATTAATTAGCTCGTTTAGAAACAAAAATATTATAATATTTGTAGAAATTATTGACATAAAATCAAATTTTAATAGATTATGTATTTTATTTCTTTCATTTGTCATATATAGTGTTGTGCATAACAAATGCAACAAATATGAGCATATCAAATAAATAAGTTTTAAGTCTACTTTTTAGTTTTCATTTAAAAACTTAAATACATAGTTTTATTTGTTATTGTCTTAGCTACCATAAAAAACAACAAAATCTACAATTCTTCATAACGGGTTAAATAATTTACAAAAAAAACGAAATATTGCTTAAATATTTTAAACTGTCATATTTGTACGTAAATTATGAATGAAACAAACCTATTTATCATTATTATTGATAAGGCTGAGAGATCCAAAAAAATATCGGCCATTGAACGAATAATTGGTTTATACCCATTGTTTGATAATATTCGCAACAATTAAAAAGTGCATTATACTTATAAATACTTCTGATAATAGCTGAGTCAATAAATCAAAGCGTATGAAGTGTAAGTATTGCACATAATAACTTACAAAAAATTAAATACGAAAATAATTAAATATGTTTTTGTGTTGTAAAAATAATATTTAAATAATTATTTTATGTTAATTTTTTCTTGCCGAGAGTGACGCGTCTTTATGACGTAAGGAAACTATTAACTAAATTTTTGTCTTTGTCAAAAATAATTAATTATTAAATAATTATTATTTTTTATTAATTTAAAATTTTTATACTTTATCTTTTATTAACAGAAATATGCATTTTAAATTAAGTATTCAAATTCATATGATATGGTAAAGACTATTCAATACATTGAATACGTGAGTATTTTTATTCATTGGAGCATGGGTTGTGATGCTCCAGTCTATTGCATGGGGTTGAGAATTTTCTACAGGTCATTTAATTGAGATTTGAGCTTAAAAGCTTAAGAGAGAGGTACAGAAAAAAACGTCTGATAAGATTTGTCTCTTTTGACTGTTGCTTTTCTGTTTGTCATCGCTTAACACCTTCGTCGCTCTTAGCATGCAACAAGTTGTTTATATTTTGTGAATTTTTTTTATTTTTTATATATATACCCGGTGTATATTTTTGTTTTGTATACAAATTACTTGAAAAAAAGCATTGACGCTCACGAAAGCTTTCATAAAATAAAAAGCTGTTGATAGTTCGATTGTGCGTCAAAGTTTGTTTCCTCTTCAAAGGAAAAGCTTGAGTGCATCCTTTCGAAGGATACAAATTTTAGTTAGTATTTTTCTGTGCATTTGTGTGGTGTCTCCGACAGATTTTCATTCTAATTGAAATCAATCAATAAAAAGGTTATTAAAAAACTTTTTTTAATAGTTATAATAAAAATATAAAATTAATATTAATTTTAAGAAATATATAATAAAATAAAACTTAATTAACTTAAAAACAATAAGATTTGTGGTACAAAAACAGTAAAGATTTTCATATGAAAATTGTGTATCCCACAGTCCACAGTCCAGAATATTTTCGATTTAATTTGATGATTGCTATTAAAATTTAATTATATTCTTGTTTTTCATTAGCTTTTTTCTGTTAGATGACTTAAGTGAACAAAAATTAATTACATAAAGTGCTCCGTATCGATTTCGAATTAATTATTTTTATGTAACATTTTTATATAAGTGAAATACATACATAATTTCTTGAACAGTGCTTAAGAGCAATTTACTTTTTTCTTATTTCGAGTGACCATCAGGCAGAGGAAAGTACAAAAAGGTAACCCAATTTCTTCGTAAAATCTGCTCAAGAAGACCTCTCAGATATGCAACTTGTAAGGCCAAAAGAATGTTTAACCTTTCACTGTTATATATGGAAAACTATATTTATATCTGAAATTAATCTATGTAATAAAGAGTTAAATGTAAGAAAATTGAAAAACACAATTAAAAGTATACAAAAATCGTGGACATCATTTATCAAAATAATTAAGTCAATATTGACTTAATTGTAAAACGAATTGTAATTAAGGATGTCATATTGCTTATGAATTTTTCAATAAAATAAATTCATATCCATTACGAAGTAATTTTTTTTATTTCATTAAGACAGTCACTGCTCAAATTAAATAAGCTGTATAATTATAATTAATGAAGACAGAACTTAAAGCACCAGTTAACAATACAAAAAAGTAAAATAAAATATCATGAATAATGAAAACCAATAAAATGCTAATTAACAGCACTAAAAACACAAAACACTTCTGTATAAACGTTCTCAATAATGGAAAAAATATTGACTTTGCCGAAGTTCAGATATATTTTGTACTGATCTGTTAAAAATTATTTAACGAAACATTTTACAGTACAACACTCAGACATACAAGAAACATGGAAGAGGTCAAAATGGCGGCATTGTGCCCAAACACCACTTAAGCTTAAATAATAGTTCGTTGTGATATCAAATTTACTTTGTTCATACATAGAGCAGAACCATTTCCGAAAACATCGTAGTGGTCAACGTACAAACAAAGCTGAAAGGTACAACTTCTCAATCAAGTGAAAGCAAACCAATCTGAGAAGTCTATAAACTTGACCAAGTCCCTAATTTTATAGGATCAAAGCTCTGTCAGATTGGTAAAAACAAGCCTTAAAAATTTTGAATCTTTTTATAACTAATGATGGACACTGACACATGAGGTGTATAACAATTTTCATCTCCTCTGCAGAGCCACAATCGCGACAAAAGTTATTATAGAGAAGTCCCAGTCTCATAGAATGTCTTCAAAAGCCCTAGTGATCCGACAGCATCGATACTTAGTACTGAGCAAGTTAGTACTTAGTTAACTTAACCTTAGTTAGTTTTCTCATTAGTTTGGGTCATGTCTATCTGTTTAGCTATATTCAGATATTTTTGTTTGATTGTCTGCTTGGTTTTTGCATGTGGGATACCAATAACCGAGTAGTAAATGTCAAAGAGCAGAGTGTTTACCTCAGCAAGCTCGTCTGCCTTTCAGACAAAACGCAAAATATGTTAATATTTTACACATATTTATAATACTTAGATACTGTATAGATACTGTAAGAGTATCCGCAGCCTATATGTGGAGTTTTGATATTTAATCAAGATTTTTTATATTTGATTTAGTGATTTTGATTTAGTTTTCTTTCTCTTTATTAGATTTAACTAATAAAAAATGTGGTGAATCTTCAATATAAAAACTGTAGGATAAAATTTTGCTAACCAGTTGGTTGGTCCCTGGTATTCTGTCAATATATATTCTTTGTATAAATCAAATAATCTTTTCTCTATGCAAAATCAAACAAGCCATATTATACGTATTATAATAGATTTCAAAATATATAATAGCAATGTGATTTAAGTGTGAAATTGAATGCCAAAAAATAGATTTGAGTACTTTGATACTATTTACTTGACGTTATGTAAAGTAATGCTCGTTCTGCATTCCTTTACAGTGCCACAATAATAATATGTACATAAATTGTATCCTATGTTGTTTATATCAGCGTTAATTATTTAGTCGAAATTTAGAATTTATGTTTATTCCTTAGAGTTTTATTGAGTCATGGCTTGCCCATTTTTTCGTCGGGCCGACTCTTTGCAACGACAAGCATCTGTCGTTACAGAAACTCCAACTTGGACTCTAGATGAAGAAGATATACCAGATGATGCTTTAACGTTAACGCATCTACAAATGGCAATCCAACTACTCACAGCACCTTCGGTAATTTTAAGATCAGAAATTTAATATGAAATATAATAGAACTCTAATATTTCCAGAATGAAGATCTCAACTCTGCTGTCAATGCACTCGTATCGAAATATAAAAAAAATTGGCCAAATATTTCGAAGCTGTAAGTATTGCAATAAAAATAAGTATTTCCTATAAAGATTTAAAATAATTATTTTTTAATAATAGTAAAATTGATATGGAGACCCTAAAGAGCATACCAAACTATGATTATTTATCAGACATACAAGAAATATTACTTGAAATGGATGAATCTAGTGCCAGTGAAATATTGGTATTACTCGGTGAAGAATTAATCTCATCGTGCTGTACAGGCATCATAGAGCGTGCATTTCGTTGTCTCGGTACCGATTTGCAAGAGTTTCTTGGTTCTTTGGATGGAGTGTATGATGTACTTAAGTTGCAAGAGGTAAATCAATTTAAGAAAGACATATCAATGAGATATACATAGATATAACTATTTATGTATGTACAATAAAAAGTAAATATATAACAATATTGTCTGTGGTGTCGCAAGAATAACTGGTTTCAGGGGCATCATAGTTTTGTGGTGCTTTTCACGAGAAAAGCTTATTAAAAATTAATATAGAATATACTACTCTTGAGAACCATTCGGCGCACTTTCCCGAGTGTCATTCGAGACACGATAGACTCCTTCTTTGTTACATTACTTAAAGATGTAGTTATAAAAAAATTCAAATATTTCTTAGGAAGATGTGACCGACACTGGATTTGTTTGTGCTGGCGATGGTGAACTTATATTTACTTCTGAACGACCAGTCATCGCTTGGTTATTGTTGGGCTCTCTCAAAGCACTTACAAAAATGCTCTATAATGTACAGGTTAATATCAAAATCGAGCCAGTTGAAAGTGATGCCCGGCGCTATCGCTATCTATTCTCTACAGGCAGAGAATCATTGAAATCAAACGAATTAATAAAAGCGGAACCACGTAATAACTCGTCAAATGCCGCAGATATGTCAATGAATTCAGGAACATTTTGTAAAGCATTTCCTTGGCATTTCATAATGAATGAAAACCTGGAACTGGTGCAACTAGGTGTGTTGATAATTCCGAAATACATATATAATAAAAATTGGTACAGTCAGCTATTGACATTGTTTTTCTATAATCAGGTACTGGATTTAGTAAGTTATACAAACCATATATGGGAGACTATGGTTGTTTAGCTGCTACTTATTTTGATTTTAAACGTCCAAAAGGCTTAACCATGAAATTCCGTGATATAGTCAGACGTACCTATACTCCATTTTTAATTGCGCTTAAGAACCCTCCAAATGTTAAGGAATTTCCAGCAGAAGTACATTAAATTTTAATTTATTGCATTAAAATTTTTAAAGTAAAAATATTTTTTTAAAGGGTCTTGAAATTAAAGGTCAAATGGTACATTGTCCAGAATCGAATTCTCTTCTGTTTATTGGCTCACCTTTTCTTGATGGTTTAGAAGGTTTGACTTGCAATGGTCTCTTCATATCTGACATACCATTGCACGATGCAACTCGCGAAGTAATACTAGTTGGGGAGCAAGCTCGTGCTCAAGATGGTTTACGTCGTCGTATGGACAAGTTAAAGAGTTCGATTGAAGAAGGAAATGCTGCCGTTACTAAGGAGCGAAAGAAGAATGTCAGTTTACTGCATTTGATTTTTCCAGCTGAAATCGCCGAACGTTTGTGGCTCGGTGCCAGTATTGATGCCAAGACTTATCCAGATGTTACAATATTATTTAGTGACATTGTTGGTTTTACCAGTATTTGCTCACGTGCTACTCCTTTTATGGTTATCAGCATGTTGGAATTGCTTTATAAGGATTTCGATGAATTTTGCGACCTTTTCGATGTTTATAAAGTAGAAACCATTGGTGATGCTTACTGTGTTGCCAGCGGTTTACATCGCGCCTCTATTTATGATGCGCATAAAGTTGCATGGATGGCGCTCAAAATGATAGAGGCTTGCTCAAAACATATTACACATGATGGTGAGCAAATAAAAATGCGAATTGGTTTACACACTGGGACTGTTCTAGCTGGTGTTGTTGGTCGTAAGATGCCACGGTATTGTTTATTTGGACACAATGTAACAATTGCTAATAAATTTGAATCTGGAAGTGAGGCTTGTAAAATTAATGTTAGCCCAACAACTAAAGAGTAAGTTTTACATTTCTTATGGAAAGAAAAGAAACTTAACTAAATATTATTTTTATTGTTATTCATGATTTTTATTTGTAGATGGCTTATTAAACATCCAGGATTTTCATTTGACTTAACACCACGCGATCCAACGTGTTTGCCGAAAGAGTTTCCAAATACCGATAATGACACATGTTATTTTCTGGATGGATATCGACACCCAGACCTTGATGAAAATTTACCTCTCGTTTCGCATATTAGTGCTGCTATGAAAACTATATCTAACACAAATTAATTAGAAATACTTTCACCTTATTGGATCTATAACCTATAATTTATTCTGAAGATCAACTATTATCTGTTAAATGTATCTTAATATATATATACGAGTATTATATAATAGAATTATTTAAATAAGTAGTTCATTTCACCATCAAATACAAATCAAATGTATTGCACTTAACTTTACGAGTATGGTTAAAATTTCATCTTAGAAAAAATACTGATAACTCTATAAAACTCTAGAGCTCTCTATAAAATACATTCATTTTGAAATTACAGCTGTTAATAATAAATAATGTTTATAGTACAAATATTGTTTTATTTATACCAATATTTTTGGCATACAGTCAGTTTTTACATTGACTTAACGTTTCTTTATAAAATTGATTTCCACGTTAGTTTGCTGTTCAGAAATTCTTCGCAGTCAAGGTTCTTTTTTATACTATATATATTAATTAAAATATTTCAACTATCTTGGCTTAAACGGTTATGTTTGAAGGTTTAGTTGATTTGATCTTTATTCGCTTCATCCTTATAAATAGTTTTCCAAGATATATCTTTCAATACCAAATGGTTTAACAAGGATTACAAAGGTTAGCAACTCGCCTTTCGCAGCAAAATTTTTTTGAGGGCATCACAATGGGCAATATATGCCTCCGAGTGGAAGTGCTGACAGCGGTCAGCACACGCCTTCCGAACCTAACCTAACCTATGTCTTTCGATGCGCTCATTGACCTCATATCAAACTCTATCGTTATTTTAAAAATTTTTAAACACGCTTATTAGAGACTGTCCACAAATGTCATCTTATTCTTTTAAATAGTATTAATAAGATGGGCGTGTTCTAACAAAGACTAACTTCCCCCGAATTTGTATTGTTTAAGACCACCTTTGCACTGTAATATCTTTCTCAAGGGTCTTCCTTGCGACATAAAAGATAACTTCCAAGCGCACAAAATTGTAGTAGAGTAATATTCTTTATTTCCAATATAATATAACTATAAATAAACTTCTCATCACATTGTTTATCTATTTATCTATCTTCAGTATATATTTATACAACTATTCCATTCAATAGCAAAATTAATCAAAACTATTAAGAAAATCATTTCTCAATTTACTATTTTAAGTGGCGCTAACAAAGTTGATTAGAGTCCTTGGGAGAAATTTCATTATACAGACTACAATAATAACAGTAAAATTAAATCTGACACCAAGTAGATCAAAAAATTATTCAGTGTCAAAAAGCTTCCTGAAGTTACCCAATCTATGCACTAGAGTTAATCATCAATATATACGTTCAATACGCTCTCATTAAATCCATTAGTAACTTAACGACCAATTACACTGTATAGACTATAACAATTGTAATAGAAACCACAATGTGTGTAAATGCTCAACTAAATTGCAAATCTATTTGTGGATCGTATTCATGCAGATATCAATCATTTCCGATGAATTGGACTGGGCAAATGGCACTCCTAATTTAGAATCAAAACTGATTTCGTATCTGTATTTACTCAGATAGTCCAGCAATAATTAAAGCATTATTCTTCTGGAAGGATCTGCCATGCAACTCTGTGGGCCGGAGCCATATTGTGAATAAATTTGATCTACAACTAGGTCTCTGATTAAAAAATAGTTTTCAACCGAAAGAAGACGCTACTGATGCGACATTCCAGGTAATCGTCAGATTTAAGAGCAAGTTCATTCCAACACTTACGGTAAGGTATTCTTCTTCAGTAGAACAAAGTTGATGTTGCTGGTGGGATATTTAACAGACCACCATAGACTGCATTATCACCTTAACAAAATGAGTCTCTCCGAAGAGATAGATTGTCGACTCTGCCTAGATGCAGACGAGACTTTCAGTCACAGCCCAGTCGTGATTTGGGCCAGGAGGAAGTCACTGGGTTGAGAATTATTTTACCCTTCTGACATTAGGACGTCCTCTACTGCTGATATTTTGGCTTTTATTCGAAGAGCGGAATGTACCAGTTTTTTAAGATATCAATTTTCACGAGCTATACTTCATTCCTGATGTGGGTGTGAACTATATTTTTAAATTCGCTTTGTTAATTTATGGATACCGTCATTAACTGCTTTAATGACTTTAATCTGGTATAATAGTTTTAGACATACGTTCTTAAAATTTTAATGGCATTAGCATAAAATAAAGTGATCTTTCGTATGGTGAAGTACATTTTAGATTAGATTATATTATGCTGACAGACCAAAAAGGCCACGCGTAGACCATTAAGGTCCATTACGTTACCAGATCAGAGTCTTATTTTAGCGATTGTGTGCATTATTTAAGATGAGCGTTTTATTAGCGAATTTATATTTTCGCGAAGTACATTTTATTTATAGTTAATTCTAAAAGCATAAGGAAATTAACGGTCTACCTGATTGCGGAAATGGTTGTATTTGTATCTCGGATCACTTGTCATTTCAGATGACAAATTGCCACTCTCCCCTCCTTACTGAGATTTAACAAAAACTGTATCTATTTTGTTTATAGATACTGTTTTTTCTATATTATAATAATAATAATAAAAGTATAAACAAATTTTATTTTTAATTTTTATATTAGTTTTTTGTTTGTTTTTATTTCATAAAATCATAAATATGTTTCAAGGAATTCAATTAATTTATTTCTTTTATTATTTGGTTGTTCAATTCAGAGATTATTAGAATTTGAGCTGATTTATTGTAATATTTTTGAAGTGATTTTTTTTTTATTTTGCTTACATTTAATTTGAGTTTTGTTCTTTTCTTCATTGCAGATAAAAAGAAAATTTTGGTTAATATTATTTTTAGGATTTATAGGATTTATATTCTGTGTATTTTTATATTGCACAACATTTATCGGTTTACATTCCTTTTTCTACTTACAATTATATTTTAATAATATTATTAATAACAAAATATTTAAAAAAAAATTATTTTTGTTCGCAACTTATGATATAAACTAAGAAAAATACTTAATACTTATTAAAATTAAATTTAATTATTTATTTTGAAATTACTAACTAATTATTAAGCCATAAAATTTTATTTCGAAACGGTTTTGTATTTTAAAAATTTAATTTTTTTTTCAGTTTCTATAGAGTTTTTTCTTTTTTGGTAATATCACAGATTGCTCGAGATTTTTTGTTTTACTAAATGTTTAAATGTTTTTTCTTTTATTTCAATCAAAAATAATTACAATTTTTTTTGTAAAAAAAATAAACTACAGTTAAAACGTAATAAATTGAAAATTAAATATTTTTACAATTTCAATTATTTATTTATTTTTTCACAACGAAAGAATGGCACAACTACACAACGATATATATATATATTCCTATATTCGAATATAACAAAGACTATAGCCTTACTCAAGCAAACATCTTCGAAATGGATCTTAGGTTCATCAATGAATTTTTGTGAGTAAAAACTATTTATTTATGTTTTGTTGCCAATGAGAGAATAACAAATATCCTCATACATTCGTACGTCACAATATAGCAGAGACTACAGATTTCTCATTGCTTGGAGTTGTCAGGTCAGGTTCTCTATTGAGTTTTGATATAAATTGATTTATATGAAATTTTTTTTAAAAGTTAAAACCGGTAAAGAGATTATCCTCAAAGCTATTCGTATATCACAATAAGTGGAGACTATAGTCCTCTTTTTGCTTGGAGTTGAATGTCAAGTTCTCTATTGAATTTTGATATAAAAAGTTATATATTAAATTTTTATTTAAACGTTAAAATCGGTGAAAACCGATGAAGAGATTATCCTAAAAGCTATTAGTATATATTGCAATAAAGTAGAAACTTTGTAGTTTGTTTAAGTGTACAATTGGATCTTAGGTTCTCTAGTCAGTTATAGTATAAATTCTTATATAATATATATTTTCATACATATATAAGCATATATGTATATATGAATATATGTAGTCATCAAGTTTTCTGTTTGTTGTCAGTTGGCTCTTAGAATCTCTAGTCAGTTTAAGTATAAATTATTTAAAGTGTGAAAACTCTTTCTTTTTGTTTCTTATTTCTTCTTGAATATATATTCATAACTTTTAGATTCTCTAGTCAGTTTTATTATTTATTATATTAGATGCAAAATTTATTTCTTCATGAAGTCGCGACACACAGGTACGTAAAAAAAATCTATCTTCAATGAAGTAAAGAAATTAGGGCGAAATATCATCAGGAAAGATTTCGACAATTCATAGATGAGGAAGTCCTTAAATTGATATAAGTGTCATAAAATACGCATATTTAGCTCTTTAAACTAATGGTTAGACAAACTCAAAAATATTTTTCAGAATATATTGATACATTTTTTGTTTATAGTTATTCGATGCAAACAGCTCGTTGGTCAGATGTTTCTAATAACTGTAATAGGAAACGATTTTTTTTAATTGTAAATTCGGGTGATAAGATTTTTATAGCTATCATTATTTTACAATTCCATTTATGTATAGCATACTAATAAATATAGTTTTAACCGGAGTAAGTTCTTTCAGTATTAATAAGGGTAATGAGAATATTTTTCTAATCATAATTGTGTTACAGATCCATTGATGGTATGGTTTATATAGTACTCCTTGAACATAATCTTAAAACCAGTTTTTTCTTCCTGCATTAAGAAGATTGGTGTAATCATTTCCTAATCATAATTGTGTTACAGAACCATTGATGGTATGGTTTATATAGTACTCCTTGAACATAATCTTAAAACCAGTTTTTTCTTCCTACATTAAGAAGACTGGTGTGATCATTTCCTAAACATAATTGTATTACAAATCCATTGATAGTATGGTTGGTATATGTAGTACTCTTTGGACATAGTCTTAATTCCAGTTTTTTCTTCCTGTATTAAAAAGATTAGTGTGATAACTCTCTAATTATCATAACACATAATTATCATAACATGTTATAGATCCATTCGCAGTATGTATGTTGTTTATAGCGTTCTTTAAACATAGATATAAGCGGAATATAACGAATTGTTGGTGTCTGTTGTTGCCATGTTGTGGTATATTTGTTTTGTTCTCTAACAGAATGTGTAAATTGGTGCACCTTTAATTATTTTCGATTTTTAAGTGCATTTTTTTATTTAAATTTTTTTTAGTTTTTTTTTTTGTAATAAAA